GCTATAAGTCACTTTTTGTTAATAATTCAACATTTGTTAATACATTCTATATTTCGACTCTCCTTGAGAGTCATCATCAAGATCACGATTTTGTTAAAAGATATATTTGTAAATACTTGAACAGTTTTAATTGTTTTAATATATAACAATTGAAACTATAATCATATTTTGAAAATTGTTTTTTATTCAGCAATCACAATGTCTACTGATAGTTATTTAATACAAAAAAGTTAAGCATCGTTTATCTTCTCTTTCACATATTTACACTCTTTGTCAAGACACTTTTTTTGCAGTAGGTGGAAAGCATCGAAAACCACAGTGTGAGACTTGAACCCACTAAAACCACCTCTTAGGAATGAAAGGAGAAGATTTCCACAGCAATGTGGAAATTTCATTCCAGTAATCATGGGAGAGAAGAATGAGAAAATAGATTTAATACCTAGTGAACTAGGCTCATCTAAATCAGAAAGCAAGGGCATGAACTAGGTAAAAAGGACGATATAGAAGGGGAAGGGGTTACGGCTAACTAGCGGGGGTTGAATCAACAGTATACTTTGTGACTAGGGTCACGAAAGCCGCGGTTATATAAGGGGATAGTGGAGAGGTTATGGTCCACTTCATCGAAGTAGTGTGTTAGGTATTGAGGGGGCTTATATCGCAAAGCTAGAACAAGGTCTTCTGAAAGAGTGAGAGGAGTAAAGACGTCGGGGGGAAGGTAATGGAGCCGGGTGAGATACCTACGGGCGAGTGACAGAAGATACTCGTCAACACGAGTGATCTTGGCATTGTTGTAGAGAGTTGATATAGAGAAGTGCTTGCCATTACGCTTGCGCTTGTAGTTAGTGCAATCGCGAAGACACTTTTTTGAAAAGTCCTTAAATATTAACAAAAAAACCTATTGAGTCCCTTTTTTGGAAAACTTTTTTTCTGATTGATCAAACTTTTTTTGTACTAATGTTGTTGTTGCAGTCCGCAAGAAACTGCTTGTGTACTTTCCTTTGGAAATGCTGAATCGCAGTTGGTTATCGAAGTCGAAGAGCGGTTCTGGGACGTAGACTTGGCCGTTCTCAGACCCATTTGTAATAATCCTCTCCTCTGCTGTTGCATTAATGTGTAATA